ATAAAAAGACTCATCAGATCATACCCATAGCGCATAGAGCATATAAACATCATCATCTGCTTCTTCCTTATCCCATTTATTTGGGGTCGGCGTAATATGTTTTTCGCTTCCATTCATCCCTGTTCGCAGTCATCGCGTTATTTACACATAACACAGTCATCCACCTATAATAGAGCACCACACATCCACTAAAAATTAAATCATCGGATTTCCTGAATACCTAAAGGAAACGTGATAAGAAAATAACAGCACGCACGCAGTGCACCTGTTACGAACATTGCGTAAACACCAAGGCTACTGGACAGTGTTGCGCAATATTAAACACGTTTAAGTACCGTCAATTAGATATTCTGCGGCAGATACTGAGAATAGAGTGATCATGTACCCACATTTTTCTAATTACCAGTGACTAATGGACTGCCACGTTTTCACACGTGTATCTGAAATATTTTATAGGTGAAAATATTTTATAGGGTTGTATATATTTCTATCGCGGATAATAAAGGTCAATTATTATCTGTCGTGTCGGGGTTTTTACTACATTTATACATATATTATAATCCATTACAAACAAATAAATTAATATTCCGTACATATAGATGTTACGGATGACAATAGAATCATCATCATCATCATCGCAGCTCGGAAGACGTCCACTGCTGGACATAGGCCTCCCCCAAAGATCTCCACGACGAACGGTCCTGCGCTGCTCGCATCCAATGCCTTGTGCGATGCGATGCGAAATGCGATCTTGACCAGATCGTCGGTCCACCTTGCTGGAGGCCTTCCCACGCTGCGTCTTCCGGTCCGTGGTCGCCACTCGAGGACTTTACTGCCCCAACGGCCATCTGTCCTACGAGCTATGTGCCCTACCCATTGCCACTTCAGTCGCAATTCTTCGGGCTATGTCGGTCACTCTGGGTCTTCTGCGGATCTCCTCATTTCTGATTCGATCACGCAAAGTAACTCCGAGAATAGATTGATGCACCATAATAGATTCACTTGGAATTAACCACGATGGGGGAACCGAGGTCGATCTGACCATACATTGCTAACAAATCAATTCAATAACCCTTTCCCTTCTTATATCTAAAAATCTATGTATTTATAGATATCAGTTGTCTAGTACCCAGGTTGTGTTAAGCTCTGCTTACCTTGGGACTAGATGGCGCTGTGTAATGTATCCTGAGATATTACTATTAACTCGTAAGCTGAAAAATCTAATACTGAAAGCATTAAAAAAAAGAAAGTTGACTGTCAATATTGTTTATACATACACATTTTGCTGTGTCACAAATTTATAACGTCCTCTGTTATTATTCACGCCAATGTACATATATTATAATTTGTAATGTAATTACAAATATATCATTTATACTATAAATACTTTTAAATAGGTAATTATCCACACAGTATCTATGAGTGACATCATTTCCGACTTAAAGTCATATGACCCGCTATAATCTCTGTTGACGTTCGTTAAGATTATATTTAGTGTCATAAATAAATTATTCAGCACTAATTATAGAATCAAGCGGCATTTTCGGTCAAGATCACATCTTTATTATCATCAATATCATCTTCGACCAATTATAATCATTGATAATAAGTAACTCAATTCACTGACCTACGTTAACACGAACGTGTAATCTTTGTGGTATATTTTGCGTATTTTAATAATAAAAATGATATCTCAGGAAAAATCATACACTACACAATACATATATATAATGCCTGGGATTTTATACATAAAGCGAAAAACTAAATAAATAAATAAAACAGTAAAGTAAAACGAGACAGCTTCCTCATTGGATGTACAGTTTTCTCCCGTCAACAGATTTCAACAACAAATTTGCTAAAAACTTGATGAGCCGATTGGAAATATCGATATGAAAAAAATATTATTCAATTATCATTGGACAAAGAATATTATTTTACGGAAATCACATGCCACTAACATGACTAATCCTATATCTGAATTGAAAATCTTTGGTATATATTAACTTAATCGTACAGATAAAATATGGGATACGACATTCTAGATTCCATTAACATTTAATACTTTCATTGCATTCCATACACACATTATTATTGTACTTTACACCCATAATTACCGCATATGATGTTATATTACCAGTTGGTTGCATCATAAGGAAGAATTTATTAACATAAACCGTTTACTACTGTCACAGATAACAAAATATTACATACTACTGTTCAATTTACATAAATATCATTACAGACTATTTACACATTTTATGTAATAAAATTATAATTGAACTAGTTGCGCCCACGGCTTGTCCTCCCCCCTTCTCCTCCGATGGATCCCCCTTTAGCTCGAACGGAGATCGAAATAACGACGGCCTGAGCCGAGGTTCAAATTCTTAGCGGTGCCCTCAGACTAAAGTCGTATCCGTCAGGCTAGAGTTGCCTTCAACAACTCCATAAGTCCATCCGCGGGTTTGAGTGCCATCTGTACTCGACACCTATCGTTCGATGAAGCTGTAAAGGCCAGCAGCAAACAGCATTACAATAGTTTGAAAAAAAAATTGCCTTCCTACGCGTAGGTACATGGTGATCTACAAATGTTACACCATATAGGTGTGTATACTAAAACATGAATACGAGACAAGAGATCCACTAAGACGAATTAGTACAAAGTTTTCTTCGGTAAATATGACATCCTCAGTGGTCTAGCGGTTTAGTACACCGCTTCACTTCCGATGGTCACTAATTCGATTCCTCGCACAGTACAAATTTCTGTATTCAAAAGTATTCAGTATATTGTTTGTAATAGCTGGGTGCTTTCATTTAATGTATTAAAAAAAAACTATCAGTTGTTGTTGTCTTAATTTAGGACTAGATGGCGCTGTGTAAATTGTTGAGATATCATCTAAACTACTTGACTATCGCTGAAGTTACAAAGAAACCTTCAATCAATAAAATATTTAACGATACCATGAAATCCATCACGGTCCACAATCAGAAAGAGTTCCATGAATCCAACAAAGTATAATAAATTGAGTGTGAACAATAGCAAACTGGATATTTCATGTCGCATCCTGGCATCACTACGTCTAATAGAATGCAACACGAAATAGGTACCAATAAATTACTTAATTAAGTTATTTATTAATATCTCGTGTTCAATGCTCGTAAGGAAAACCTGACAACGAGGTTAAAGACAATTCAGGAATGATTCTTAAGATAAAAAAAAGTAAACCATTTTAGAATTAAGTATAATTGTCAAAATTTTAAAAATTAAGATGTGTTGATGTTAATTTTTAAATATGTATAATAAATCATAAGAGTATATGGCATTTATAATTTTTTTTTCAAGACAATACATATAGCGCCATCTAGACCCAAGTTAAGCCAGCTAAAGCCTGTGTTATGGGTACTAGATAAGTGATACCAATAGATAGGTATTTTTATCGTAAATACATATATATTATACATAGAAATCACCAAATCCGAATCAATCACAATCATACTACAACACATACAAAAATACAAAATGTTTAGAAATAGACAATGTGATTGATGGTTTGTAATGGATGGTTTGTATGTATAACAAGCTGTACTATCGTGACTTCGTCCGCATGGAATTTAACTTTATTTTTTAAAATAAAAGTAGCCTAAGTCACTCCTTATTACATCAGCTACCTGTAAAATAAAATCCCGTCAAAATCGGTCCAGCCATTTCAGAGATTAGCCTGAACAAACAGACAGACAGACACAAATTGTGGAAATGTTATTTTGGTGTATGTACCATATATTTATTCATATACATGTAGCAAAAAACGGTTATTTCTATATTACAAACAGACACTCCAATTTTAATTATATGTATAGATACATGCATGTTAATATACCCATTATTAATATGCAACAACAACAAGCTGGTAATTTCAAAGATTTGTAATGCATCTGTGCGAAACTGGGTTTGCAACTTTAACATTGCTTGTTTAACGTAGACGAAGTTGCACGCGTTTGCTAGTACACAATAGTTGTTCCCTGAAAGTGGCGACGGCGTGGTAATTGTCAATAATTGTGGACCAATTGCTACAATTATCCCAATCAAAGACTGCTCCTACAATTAGGAGGTGGCGGCTATATAGGCCTGTTAATGGTAACTTCATCAGTCACGAATCTTGGAATCAAATTCGCGTTTTGCTAATTCTATTAATTACTTATTTTTTGCCTAGATGACAATAGAAAATACGTTTTAGTCCATGGAAAGTGGTAATTGAGTAATTGACGCCTAAATACATATACAATAGAAGGAATATAAATACACTGTAAAATAGATTATAATATATATGATATATAGAAATAATTTATGAATTTTAAGTATGTTTGAAAAAATATATGTTAGTAATATTATTAAACAATCCTATAATAGAAGCTACCAGTCTAGATTGAATGTACACAGAAACGAACTGGCCGCACTGTAGTCTTAAAAAAGTAATTTTATATATGCGGTGTTATTTACTTGCAAGTATCGTGTTATTATAATTGATATCTGTCTATAATTAACTTATTTATATATACATAATATTGTTGTATTTATTTGTTATAAATTCAATGCACAAATACACAAATAAATACTCTCAACCGTAGAGTAATCAGAGATACATGTTTGAATGTGTATGTTGTTGGTAGATAAATAAATAATTTTCCTTTAAAAAAATCAACTCTAATTACAAAAAAATGGAAGAATCTGAAATTATTCTTTTAAAAATAAAAAATGTAAAAGTTAAACCAACAATTTATATGAGCGACGCCAGCATGCTTGCCTTCTGGCAACTTGGATACAAATATAGCCAGGGAAAATCTTGTGTTTATATAATATAAACAATTGACAATACCACTGATTACCCTATCCGGGATATCAGTCGTGATAGTATGTAAGTAGTTATGTATTTTAATGATTGTTTTTCGAGGAACTCGCCATTTAATTCTTAAATAGTTAATTTAAAGTTATGAACTTGTTACAGCTGTAATGGGATCTCTGCCTCGCATCTCGGTGGTAGCTGGTGGGCGGGCGGCAGTGCCGGCTGCACCACTGCCGAGTCACTTAGCACGGCTGGCCACCAGTCAAGACACAGCACTTATGTATTCAGGTACGTTACCCCAGCATTAGGAATAGCAACAAACGAAGACGTGTGAAGGTAGAATATGTCTGCCCATAATTTTATTTACCATCTACCCGCTGCTCTTCAGTTTATCCGTAATCATAGCAGTATTTAGAGCCAGGGCCATTTATAATATACTAGCTGTACCTGCGGTTTCACCCGTATGAAATATATAGCCTATATGTCATTCTGATGTACCTATAAGCTATATTATTGTAAAGTTTCATCAAAATCGGTTTAGTAGTTTTTGCTTGAAAGAGTAACAAACATCCATATCACAAACTTTCGCGTTTATAATATTAATAATAGGATTTAGAATTAGGTGCTCTCCTCTAAATTCTATGCTATTACGTAGATGACGTATGGCAGCGCCTACAATAGATAACAAGTCTCAATAGAGATGTCATTCATGATTGTGTTGTGGCCTATTTGTAGAATTGATTCAATTGGTTTGGATATATGTAGATATTATATATTTAACACAGTATTTTTTATTTCACTAAAATAATATTACTGAAACGATAATGCTATTTCATTTCTTTTTAACTTTTTAGCTAACTTAATAATGTATAAAAAATTACTCCTGTGAAATAATGAAAAATTAAAACATGTATACCTATATACATGTTTTAGTTAGTTATTTATATATTTATATTAACTTTATTATTATACTTCAATTCACTCACGTGTACATTCACTGCTTTTTTGTTTCTAGAAAGTAAAAATATAAAATAAATATATTGTTATAGATGAAACCTGTAACGTTCGAATCAGTTATGCGGAGATGGAATCTCAGACAAATGCCATGGCGAAAGCACTGTCTGCTCACGCCAGACCAACCGGCACCAACAGGGATGGTGACTATGTTATTGCAGTCTGCATGCAGCCCACACATAAGTAAGTTACCAAAGTAACCAAACTCTTAATAATGTACTGCTAGCGATGAAATTTGAATTTAAAAATGAATCTGTATTATTGTAAACATGTACAACATTTATTTGAAAGAATAGTTGAGTTACTTGTCAGTTCTTCACGTCTCAAAGTCATTCTGAACTGACGGTAGATTTGATATATCATAAGAGTCTGTAAGAGACCTACATGAATAAAGATATTTTGAATTTTGAAATTTTTGATATAAGCTTTGCTTGCCATGGGTGTATAGTGTTCATCCAGGGAGAATTCTTGAAATTATGCGAAACTGTATTAAAATCTGACGTTTTATTTAGAAAAAGAAAACTGAGAAATGGACTGACGAGAATAGTGACTTTATATATTTTTTTAATGTAATTGAAATAGTAAACAATCTGACAGTACACGTAAGTAATAAGTATGTGGTAAACGTATCTTAGATACTTTATATATAGACATATACAATATGTTACCATGTGACGCTCGTGATACCACTCTTTCCTTACCATTCCAGATGACCTTTGGAATATTCTGATTCATGTTTCAAAATTACGAGAAACACAATCGGTTGACAGATCCTTCTGTATCTTTATGTACCATAAAATTATTAGTGTTAAGAACCGATTGACTATTAACTGAAGACTGGCTTAAAAAGAAAATATGTATTTTCAGCACAGTCTTAACTTTATTAGCAACATGGAAGGCTGGAGCGGCGTATGTACCAATGGAACCGAGCTTCCCCCAAGCGAGGATCTCACACATATTGAAAGATGCTGAACCTGCCTTAGTTGTTTATGATGACAGTGGTGAGAAATTAAAAACTTATGTTTCTATCAAAACCTGCATAATATGCAATTTATAGTCATTTTTCCAGGGATTTTTATGTAATTTTAATGGCAAACTAGTACATACTGCGGACCTTACGTTATCATGTGACATCCAGGATACCAGTCATACGCTACCATTTCAGATGACTAAGATGTCATGGTCTTTATTTGCTATTTTCACGGCCCACTGTCTGGAAAATTATAATAGCTAATAGATATACATATAGTATCAGAATTTTTGATGACCATTGTCTGTTAATTGATATTCCGCTTAAGCTTAAACTCTCCAGACGCGGTCTGTGGGTGAGTAAGACAAAGACGGTGTCACTTAATTACTTGCTCTCCATAAACAATCTGTATGGAATTGAAGATCCTATCAGGCGCATTATTAATTCGTTATAATAATTAGTATTAATTTTCATTTCCAGCAAATCCAGCTATGTTCGTAGGAAGTGGTGTCCCACTGATATCTTTTGAGGAATTGATTCAAGAAGCCAGTGGTCTGTCTGGTGAAGAGGTCAAAAATGAAGAGGTTTTGGCTCAGTCCAGAACTGACAGTATTGCTATTGTGCTGTACACATCTGGAAGCACAGGTGTGCCTAAAGGTAAGATTTAAATAAAGTAAAATTTCAAAAGATTTTCTTAAATTTTTTGTCTCTTCCCATGGTTGAACACTCAAACAGAACTTACAAACTAAACTACTTAGAACCAAAATTGCCTGATATAGTCATGCACTTAGTACAGCATTTCGCTCTGAGGAATTTGGGTATATCACCGTGTCACGGCTTACATTATATGAATATTTTCAGGCGTTCGTCTTCCTTATTCGGCAATATGCAATAGACTCTGGTGGCAATTCCGAACGTTCCCTTACTCCACTACAGAGACGACCTGCGTATGGAAGACTGCTTTGACCTTTGTGGATTCTGTTTGTGAAATTTGGGGCCCTCTTTTGCACGGTAGAACACTGTTAATCCTACCAAAGGAGACCACTAGGGATCCACAGAAATTGGTGCGAGTTTTAGCCGAAAATCAGGTTAGTGTTTTAGATTCTTCTAACTGATAGTAGCTACTATGGTACTACTAGAAGTAGTTACACCATGCCACAGACTGGTTTTTCAGACGATGCCAATATTTACTTCAACTTTCGACAATTTACTCTTTTTCTATTCTGTGTCAGCGCTTGTGTACAATACACAAATACCTACTACAATAATTTGACCTATTTGTACTGTTGATGACTTTGATTTAAGATTTGACTTCGTATAATTATCAAAATCTAAACCTGTTATTATTTTGAAATGTGCAATTATCATTCGACTATTTGTTCCAGATTGAACGTTTGGTACTAGTGCCTACTCTCCTCCGATCAATCCTAATGTACCTGTCCCTCAAACCTTCAGAGAGGCCTTTACAGCATCTGAAACTTTGGGTCTGTTCTGGGGAGACTTTGAGTAAAGAGTTAACTTCACAATTCTTTCGGTACTTCAGTGATAATGATGGGTACAAACTAGCTAATTTCTATGGTAGTACTGAAGTGATGGGAGATGTCACGTACTATGTATTGGATAAAATAAGTCAATTGGACTTGTTTAACACTATTCCTATTGGTAAGTTGCTTTTTTAAACAGAATTTTATAATATCTCCCAACTGTTATTGATCCTGTTTGTTACAAAAGCGTTATGATTTATTGTGTAGTTTTGATATTACGACGACAGTATTACTAAAAAGTTTTATTTATTTATAATACCTAAAATTTATTATATAAACAAGTGGAAGTGCCATCCTAAATATCATGGCCCATTTTTAAAAGCAAATTGTTATCAACGTAATATATAAAATGCTTGCAAAAATGCAATCCCTCCTGCATTTAAGCAATTCTTAACTACTATGCTAGGAAGATCGTATAACTAATAAAAAATTTAACTGAAATTTATTTAAAATATTATTAAAATATTAATAAATTGGAAATGTTAAATGAATTTTTAACAAATATTATTTTTACTTCTTCTTCAAAAGGTTCCCCATTAGACAATTGTTCGGTGTACCTCCTAGATGAAGAAATGAACCCATCCCGTGAAACTGAACCAGGAGAAGTCTGGGTCGCTGGACATAATCTGGCTGCTGGATACGTGGGTGCCCAGGGTGCTGATAAATTCTGTGACAACCCACATGCAGATCATCCAGGTTTGTAATTTATATTTTATCCAGTTTGTCTAGAAAAGGTAACTTTTCTGGGTCTTTTTCAAGTACCTAGAACACAGTAGAAGCAAATAAATTTATAATACTATTTAATTTGGCTAGTCCTTGATCTTTAAAATAATGACGTAGGAACTAAGAAACAATAATGTGTTATTTTTATACTCACGATTACTGTGTCTCTCTATAAGATGACATTAAAGATATACTATACAAGACGCATATATAATTAAGTGCCATTTATACTCCATATCGTATTGGTTACCAAACGGTTCTGCCTGGGAAAAATCGTGATAAATTCTTGTTGAATTTGTCACGATGGGCTAACTGACCTGATCTCATCTTATCATCCTCTACTCTCTCATTGTCCCGTCAGCTTAAATCATTACCGAAGCTAGAGCCAATTAGGCTCTCTCCATTATCATCTTAGCCATTATCATCCGTTAAAGTTTTCTATGCCTGAGAAAATATTAATGTAATATAATTAATGTATTGATTTTATTTTATTTGTCTTCTACTGAAACATAATGTGATTCTGGTACTCATGATGGTATAGTACCATCAATCAGCTCTAAAGCAACAATAACCCATACCCAAATTAGTACCGAAGCAACAATAATCATCAGTCAGTTAAATGTATATCGCTAAATTATATAAAACGTCATCATATTCTGCAGCTGTTACTAACGATAATATTGAATCTTAGTCAAAACCTTCCTGCAAATCCATTCCCGAGTTTTTACTGAACACTGAGTCTGTTGATAATGACATAAGGAAGAAAATCTAGCTTTCAGATGTAGAACCGTAAATTTGGAAATATTTACAGATTTTAGCCGTCTTTATCGCACTGGAGATTTCGGGATCCTACAGAAGGGAGTCATTCTTTACGCTGGTCGTACTGACTCTCAGATCAAAATTAGAGGTCACAGGGTCGACTTACAGGAGGTCGACCGTGCTGTTGCTGCAGTGGCTGGTATTGAAAAGTGTAAGTTGATATATTCATGTTCATACATATATAAGAACATCAAATTGCTTAAATTCGTCTAGGTACTACTGAATACAGAGTAGATAATTCTGGTCGTAAGGTATTTATTAGATTTTTTATTTATGTAACTAGAATAGCAATTATCGATAGTGACTTAAAGAAAAGTATACGACTCGATGAATCAGGACAAAAGAGCCTGGCGAAGAATGACTAGGAGAGCTGACATTAAATAAAATTTGAAGAGGCTAGACAGAAACAGAGTGAGTGTTACTGAAGTAGCAAACAAGCTAAAAGTGTAGACAATGGATTCCATGTCGTCATATGTCGTGATATCCTTCGAGCGTTGCCAATTCTAAAGACAATAATAGACTTGGATTTCCCCAAGAGTTGTCGAATTAAGAAAACATGCAATAAACCAATCATGATTATTTAAACAACAGTTATTATGTTCAACAGGCGTCGTGTTGTGCTACGGCTTGGAGCGTGGTAACCCTGAAATTTTGGCCTTCGTCACAATAGAACAAAGTGCACGCATCGCCGCCCATCACATTGAAGCTAGCCTCAAGAATTCGCTGACCAGCTACATGATACCGCAGGTTTTTATGCCTTTTCATTGTTTTTTTTTTATAAGTATCGTCGATATATTGACGGCCTCGGTGATCTAGTGGTCCGCAGCCATCGAAAGCACACCGCCTTGCTTTCGATGGTTGTAGGTTCCTTGCATGATACCATCATTTGTTTTTATGTTTATGATGGTTTGTGCCTGTTTTGGTGTTTTCTAGGAATATTATATATTTTTTGTAACATTACACATACATATTTAATATATATAGATAGATAACACCCATACCCATATCAACAAACATACTCATAAATACAAATGTATACACCGTGCGAGGAATTGAACCCGCAACCCGTGTGATAAATCTATAGACCACCGAAACCGTCAAGAAAATATATCATCCAAAATTCTGTATCCTTTCAGAAATGCCACACACAAAGTTCACTATATATGTATATTTACAATAAATTAAAGTGACAGTTTTAAGTAACTTTTAACTATAAATGTTTTAGGTAATCGTGATAGAGAGCATCCCTCTATTGGTTAATGGAAAGGTGGACAGACAAGCATTGCTGAAAATGTACGAGAATACGAACAACAATGGTAATAATTTAATATTTAATTTTGAAAAACTAACGTTTACATTTTTTGGACTGGTCTGAAGTAACTATTAATATAGATAAATTAGGTAAAGTGGAATATTAACAGTAAACTGCTCTAAAGTGATTCGGTAAGAGTATGAAACGCACTTTACAGCGGAGTACGGTAGTGAGACATGCACTTAGCACCTAAGTATTATACATGGTATGTTACTTGACATAATAGTTATTTTTATTTATAAAAAGATATTTAATTACATTATTATGAATTAAAAGAATTTAAGAGATGTAGATCATTTTCATACACAGCTATCAGTCTAAGTTAATATGTATAATAATTGCATTTAAAATTAAAAATTTATAAAATCAAGAGTTTAGTTAAATTAATCATATTTTAAAATCTTGAAATTGAAGTTGAGATTTATAAATTGCAATGATTCAAATAATTATTCCAGAGGACACAGCCATTGCATTAGATATTGACTATACTGGAGTAGATGATCAAGAGAAAGAAGCAGCTAAAGTTCTGTTCGAAACTGTGGGAGAAGTATTAGGGCGAGCTGCCAGAGGAACACTGTCTGTAAGAGCCGGCTTCTACGAACTTGGAGGAAATTCTCTCAACTCCATCTACACAATCACAAAGTTGAGGGAAAAAGGATACTATATCGGTGAGTTTAAAGTAACTTTTGTTATAAAATAAGTATATATATATATAACTGATCAGTATAAGTAGAATAGTAAGAAATTGATGAGTATTGCTCTCGTTACAGAGGCCTTGTATATTGCTATTCCCGAGTAACTAGGATTACTGGAGAAATCAGAGACACGGAACTGTTGTGGACTTTGTTTGCTACCCTTTGACTCGACCAAAAGGTCCTAACTTCAAATCTGATCGATACTAATATAATTTTGACAAAATCTTCAAATTAATTTAATACAACACGCCTTTTATCTCTGCAATATTCGATAGAAAGATACCCAGCGAAATGACGGCATGTTCCGTTCCCCATTTCATCTACATGTAATAATGCCTACCACAATATTGGGTAATAGTCATGATAGTATTTAATTTCATATATTAATTACAGAAATCAGTGACTTCCTGGGAGCAGCTAACCTCGGAGAGGTACTTGCTAATATGAGTACTAGTCCAGACAACGGTGAAGACAGCAATGAGCCCAAGTTCTCAGCTGAGTTAATGAAGGATGAAGATAAACAACAGGTTATCGAGTAAGTATGTCTGTCAGTCTAGTTAGCTACGTAAAATAGATTGTTATAGCGACTCGTCTTGGTTTCGCACTTTGTAGATATTATTATGATACAATTTACGTTACTCAATTTTTATGTAATCTTTCTAGAAATTTAAAAAACGGACCATATTTGAAAAAAAGTTATATTTTCTTTTTATAAATTTGGATAAGAATAGTTTTAACTTTATTCTTAGTGTTTCTGCTTATTTAGAAGAAATATTTAAGGCAGACAAAATTATGAACAATGTCCCTACCCTTTGTTTCTAGCATGATAGTGTCATCGTTCTACGAGAAGGCTGAGTTGGAACAGTTCCTGAAACACGAGATTGATACGATGGACTACGCGCACTGTATAGACGCATGCTGGGCTGCTCTGCTGCAAGCCAGGCTCAGTATCGTGCTGAGAGATGGTAAGTAAATAATATATATATATATTACAACTTTTATTCACAAATATAGAAATAAAGGTGTTTCGTGCTATAAAAGTTCTCGTAGATAGTAATAAAAGGAAGTAGATAATAATAAAAGAAATATACTGACATGACTATATATTTATACAGTATAATGGAAATAATCTCGAATATTTTTTTTAATACACGCCGTATTTGAAATGTAGTTTCAGCGAAGAAGTATAGGCTAGAATCTTGGTCGTTGCTCAGACAAATCCACTTTGAGACTAATTAATTAAAAACCTTCTGATGCAGGTACGAATACCCCAGTAGCAGTGGCTCTTAATTTTGACGCTCGAGATGAACCTGAAATTGAACTAGCTGGTGGACTGGCTAAGATCATGGGTTTTTTGGAGTTTGTCGAAGGTTCTGTAAGGGATACTGTATTACCAGAAGGCAAAGGTAAGTTTAGAAGGAAGTGTACTTATAAGATAATTGGAAATCTTGGTCTTTCTTTAGCTCTGAGAGTTGATCGGAGAAGAATATACTGATAACAATTTTTGCATGCGACAATGCACAAATGAGACTTAGAGATTTACACACATCGAACAATTTTTGCAATTTTGTTGCTGAACAGTCAACCAGGCCTTTTCCGAACTCTATTCAATGCCTGATGATGCCTCGTATAGAAACGAAACATGTCCCGCAAAATGGGTGTAGACTCAGTAACGGTCGGAATTTGATCACCAATAGAGAACTTCGTAGCGCTTCCAGTAGCAATGATCAGGTTTCCGCACTGACGCATATTTTTGGTCTCATACATGCTAATTAAAGCGGAATGAAACAAAATAATGTAAATCCATTAAGTAATGAAATGAACTTCTGCAAAATTGTTAGTAATGTAGACTACATTACTACCACTCCCTTTCCCCCTGCCTACGAGTATTATTTTAACAATTGATCAAAAAACTCCAGGTGCTATTCTCCACTCGTTTATGATGGCCACACACTCTGATCTGTCACCGCGGGACAACGTGGCTGCAATCAGGGCGTTGGAACACTCCACAATGAGGATCGCTAGGGACAGGCGGTTCAAGGGCGTCTTCACCACAAACACCAGTCCTCTGACGCAGGTAAATCATTTTATTGTTAAGTAGTGATAGCTGGCTTACCCGTTATGTTCTCGAACGGATGCTGCTTGTAGCGACTGGTCAATACATATACAATAAATTTACATATAATAAATTAACAATACACACATGGACTCTGTTTTAAGTGTGTAGCAATTTTGTAGATCACGGTTTTGGTTATTATAAATATGTTACAGTAGCCAAAAGCGTCCAAACCTCTGTCAATTTGTTAGCACTAAATGAAATTTTAATTTCTGAAGCTTAAAGTCTGCTGTAGTGTCTACTTAGCTCCTATAGTACGTGTGCTAAATATTCTTTTCTATCAATTCAATTTATTTACTATGAGTATCAATAGCTGCCTTTTCTTTCTTTGGAGAAAAGAGTGTACATGTAAAGTCAGTCAAAGAGTACGGTGTAAAGGTAAGTAATAAATACCATAATATTTATCGTCTACCATTTTGTTCACAGCAATTAGGAACTGACGTGCTCGGCTTCCAAACACTCCTCGACTATCAAATCAACCAGTACGTAGATCCCAATGGAGACAGGACCTTCGGGAAAGCACCTGATGACATGAGAGCTATCGTCTGTTGGAAACCCGTCGACTAGTATATCAATATATTTATTTATTCGTAATTTAAAGGTTTATTTAAAAGCTTTGGTTGCCCTCCGTTCTATATTTCAAGGGACATCCAATATATTTTTGACATAAACCTCAATGTTCCGTCGGGACAAGTTAAGTCCCTTAGTTACGAATATACAAAGGATTAGGGACAACCAAATACAACAGGAGCACTTCTCCAGTTCTCATTCTTAAGAACTGGAGGAGTGTTAAGTATTGTTTTTAGTTTAATATAAAAATAGACCAGTGAAATTTTGTTTCTAAAAAGATAAATCCTATATTTTTGATCAATTTAAGCCGAAGTTGGCAACACTGCTGTTGTAAGTTAGTCTAGTTTTAAAATAGTATTGTATTTAATGTGATATTAATTATTATTTTCGTATTTCCTATTGGTGTGTAATACTTGAATATGTGTATATAGGTAGATTATAGTAATAGAACAGATAATGTAGTATAGTAACAGAAAGAGCTGCTGTTTTTGATTTAATGAACTTTTTCGTCTTTGTGAAAATTGTTCAGACTTTCGAAAATCTTCAGCGTTAGCTTGGCACATATTACATAGTGTCTCGCCTCGTAGTGCTGTGTTTTTAGTTTGGCTATATGTGATTTCCCAAGCTCTCTATCTAGTAGTAACTTATTTCCTATAGTGTAATTTGATATTAAGAACATTCCAGACCAATATATCGCACATTAAAACATTTTCTTTATTACAACATGAGAAGTTAAGAAAATAGTGTGTTCATTAAAATTTATCTACTATTTTCACTAAAATTTAATAAATTTCTATTATTCTTTTCAACCGTCGTATTCATATGTTTCGTATCATTTTTTAACTCGTTTTATGCAAAAGGTTTCAGATTTTCTTGACTCCTTCAGACGTATAGACGTATAGACTCAATCAGAGAATGAGAGAACAATCTCTCCTGAACCGTAACCTAATATCATTTTTTTGTCATATCTTCTCATTTACATTTTAGTTTATGTTGGTGTATTATGTATACATAAAATTCTCGTGTCACAATGTTAGTTACTCCTCTGAAACGGCTTGACAGATTTTTATGGAATTTTATATGTATATTCAGGCATTAGGGCAGAGGGAAGCAAAATTTCATCATTATCCATAAAAAACTAACATCTAGTTATAGATACTGGACAACATATTATCTACTAATATTATTAGATCTCTTTTATATGTATAATATTGACTAATATTTTAGATCTCTATTAATCATAGTTTGAAGAAGTATTAAATATATTTTATTCATGATCTATGTACAAAACATTACAAAGGCATATGTGTGGGTCATATTTTTCAAATAACTAAATTAAGTACAAAATAATACATAACACTACATTATGTACAATAATCTTGCGGTATAGCATATCATTTTACTTCCATTGTTCGCGGGTTCGATTCCTAGCACGGTGCAAACATTTGTATTCATGAGTATGATTGTTTGTAACGGTCTGGGTGTTTTCTATGTATATTATGTTGTAATTACAAAAAAAATATTTAGGTAAGTATTTCTATAAGTTGACTAGTACATAACACAAGCTCTGCTTAGCTTGGCGTTCTATGAATTGTCCTGGATTATTATTAATATTCATATTGATGAGTTAAGATAGTACTGGCTATGTATATATTTATTATTTATATCAGCTGTTTAGAGAGCATAGTACAAACTATTCTTAGTTTGGAAATAGATGGCGCTGTGTGAATTGTCCTTAGTTTAACCTTGTTCAGTATTTTCGTATGAAAACACAAAAACAACTTTTGTTTCTTTATAATAATTAGGTAATAAATTATAATGATCTGCAGGCGTATTATGAACTCTTTCAAATCCAGTCAGTTTCCAGTTTCCAGGCAGTTCATAGACTGACCTGATTAGGAGTTCATAATACGCCTGCTGGTGATAGTTTGTTGTCAGTTCTTCTCATCTCGAAACCATTCCGAACTGACGGTAGATTCGAAATATCATAGAAGATATTTTTAAATTATTCCTATTAAAGATTATAGAATTACCTACCTATCATAGTATGTAAGTAGTTTTATAATATTATGTATGTCTTATAGTTATTATAAATTATTATAGTAAACACTATTGGTTTTTATATGTTGTTTTATTTAAATATACATCATCCTTAATATATAATACCATAAACAAATTCTTACTGGAAACTATGTAATATTATATTATCTGTGATTATACTAAGTTATTTACTTGGATACCACTATATGTTGAATATATCTGTGGCCATTCCATAATATTTTTCTTTTAGTTCAGTTTTTCCCTTTATAGGGATTTCATAAATAAATAAAAGTAATGCGATGACAGGTCAACTGTCAAAACAACTAGCGAGGTTAAGATATTGGAAAAAACCACGCGCGCACAAAAGATCAGTATCTCTATAATTAATATTGTTAGTTGGTTAATATTTTATAAATAAACATTCAACTAAATATAAAAGGCTTTGATTTAAAACACTATGGTACTCTATTAAAGTGAGAAGTTCAGAGAAGTTCGGAGGTAACTTCCTTCACAATCTCGTTAGCGCAGGCGGGTACTAAATTATTATTATAATAATTATCACTAAATAAAAAAAAGCTACCATCTATGGGCAGTCAGATTGTTTGCCATTCAATTACATAAAAAAGTCCCGACCTTTGTAAGTATAATACCCGTATTATACTTACAAAGACATAATGCTCAATAGTGACAATGGAGCCTTAGGGAAATCCAGCAAAAAGTGAAAACAGCGATTTCTGAAGTGCATAGTAGGTACTGTTTATCGTTAAACAAATTCAATAAAAACACAGGTAATAAGAAACAAGTTTATTAGTTATTAATTTTAGCGAAGATTAGTTTAATAAATATTGTATATTATAATTCATATTGAAAATCGACTAGATAGTTGACTAGGTTCATTACATCTAAAATCTATAATTGTTCGTACATTTATACATCTACCTACATTTATATATCTACAAATTTCGCTTGAAATTCAAATTAACGTAATATAATGCAATTTTATATGATGTCACAATAGAGAGGGAGAGTGTCACAAATGTGACCAACTCGGATATTCTTGTCACAGTTGGTCACATTTGTGACAAACATTTGGGAAGGGATCAAACAACGAAAATCATGTGACATAACTTACAAATCGACACAAAGTTATTTTGTTGTCTATAGTCTAGTCTAGAACGAACGAAGCTTGAAGTCCTTCATAATTACATATATTATCTTTAAGTTAATAAATAGTAATTTAAATATACCTATTACTTACGTCTAAGACAGTATTTACTATAAATAGTATCTATAATCAAATATTTATCTATTACATCATAATTATTAAATGTATTCTATAACTATTTCATCATAACTGGATGGCTGGCTCATCCGTCATCCTCGTGAACGGGTGCTGCTTGTGGAGACTGGCGTGTTCGGGTAACAAACACTACACTATTTTGACAAAATTGCAATAGCATATGCTGCATAGTCACACTATGCTCCCAAATATTAATTTAAAAATGAAACTGTATTATTGTAAACATGTACAACCATATTTGAAAACAATACGAGCGGACTTTTTTATCAGTTCTCCTCATCTCGAAGTATTTGGAACTGATGGTAGATTTGACATATCAGAAGAGTCAGTTATAGACCTATACGAATAAAGATATTGGTTGATTTGATATGAAACCGGTGAAATTAGATCCACTTTACGAACAAATGTATTGAATAATTACAAATAGTTCATTACATATACGTGTTTTTCCGAATTACTATAAAACCAAGTACGACCGCGAAAGTCTCTTGCACCTGTCACACGTATTAGATTAGAATTTCTATTATGCTAATTGGAACAGTAAAAAATCTGACGATCTACCTGGATGGTAAATGGTAACAGTCGTCTATATACATGAACAGCACTATGTCACGTTATCATGTGATATTCGTGATACCACTCGTTCGTAACCTCGAGGAATAAGATGTTACGTAGCATCCTATAATTTATGGACATGTGAATCTACAATATACCCTATCATTATAATAATTATTTAAAATCGTTACGGGCCTTTAGTTTACAATTTTCTATCCTATAATTAAACAATATTTGAATCTACAATAGATATATACTAATTTTATTTATATTAACATTATAAAAATCATTTAAAATCGTTACGGGCCTTTAGTTTACAATTTTCTATCCAGTAATTAAACAATATTTGAATCTACAATAGATATATACTAATTTTATTTATATTAACATTATAAAAATCATTTAAAATCGTTACGGGCCTTTAGTTTACAATTTTCTATCCTATAATTAAACAATATTTGAATCTACAATAGATATATACTAATTTTATTTATATTAACATTATAAAAATCATTTAAAATCGTTACGGGCCTTTAGTTTACAATTTTCTATCCTATAATTAAACAATATTTGAATCTACAATAGATATATACTAATTTTATTTATATTAACATTATAAAAATCATTTAAAATCGTTACGGGCCTTTAGTTTACAATTTTCTATCCAGTAATTAAACAATATTTGAATCTACAATAGATATATACTAATTTTATTTATATTAACATTATAAAAATCATTTAAAATCGTTACGGGCCTTTAGTTTACAATTTTCTATCCTGTAATTAAACATTTGAATCTACAATATATCCTAAAATTATTTATATCAACATTATGAAAATCATTTAAAATCATTACGGGCCTTTAGTTTACAATTTTCTAACCTGTAATTAAACATTTGAATCTACAATATATCCTAAAATTATTTATATTAAAAGGATAGAAAATTGTAAACTAAAATTATTTACAATTTTCTATCCTATAATTAAACAATATTTGAATCTACAATAGATATATACTAATTTTATTTATATTAACATTATAAAAATCATTTAAAATCGTTACGGGCCTTTAGTTTACAATTTTCTATCCAGTAATTAAACATTTGAATCTACAATATATACTAATATTATTTATATTAAAAGGATAGAAAATTGTAAACTAAAGGCCCGTCCTTTAGTTTACAATTTTCTATCCTATAATTAAACAATATTTGAATCTACAATAGATATATACTAATTTTATTTATATTAACATTATAAAAATCATTTAAAATCGTTACGGGCCTTTAGTTTACAATTTTCTATCCAGTAATTAAACAATATTTGAATCTACAATAGATATATACTAATATTATTTATATTAAAAGGATAGAAAATTGTAAACTAAAGGCCCGTCCTTTAGTTTACAATTTTCTATCCTATAATTAAACAATATTTGAATCTACAATAGATATATACTAATTTTATTTATATTAACATTATAAAAATTATTTAAAATCGTTACGGGCCTTTAGTGTACAATTTTATATCTAATCTTAATTTAATAATATAAATATTGACTAAAATAAAGCAATTGACTAGATCTATATCTTAGTAATGATATTAGATAAAATGATATAATTTTATTTCAATAAAAGCGAATACGTTTAGCAGAACCAAGTTTTGACGGGCGGTTTCCCATCAGTAGAGATCTCGTGTCAAATAGGACCAGCGATTCCAAACTTGGTCAAGTCAGGGACATCAATATCGTCCAAATCCGATTTCATCGAGATATAACCGGTTGCATCCGGTTTTATCGGAATATATCCGGACGAATCTGGTTTTATAGGCACGTAGTCTTCTGTACCATCGGCTAAATCGAGTATTGGGTCCTTTAATATTGGAAGTTTTTCAAATTCCGAATTGATGTTTGCTTCGTTTAATAATTTCAAAGATTCTTCTAGAAGATGGCCGCGGTGTTCCGGTGTGTGGCCGCTAGTTGAAGGGGTTTTGTCGGTGTTGCCAGATTTTCTATGGTGAAGTGAATTATTGGTGGAACCAAGATATGGAGGTGGTTGAGGGCGGTTGTAGCTGCCAGCGATGTTCGTGGTCGATTTAGGACTGTACGGCCGAGCCAGGCTGTTATTTGGGCTGTAATATAGATTAAAAAATATATATTAACACCAAGAAAAATGAAAGTTAAACTATTTTATATAAGTTTTTTTATAGTTTAAGATCTCCACCGACAAGAGCGCGGTTTTTAATTGTGAATGAAATAATATTTTTTATAATAACTATATTGTTTTATACATGACATTAGTCAGTGTGTCGTAAAGAATTTGCGACACGGTGTGATCTTTTGCTCTCTCGTTATTGATGTCCTTTATAAAGTCACGTAGCATTTGCTATAGTTATTGTATCTTATTGAATATAAAGAATTTAGAACCTATTATTTGGCTATTTACAGTGCATATTTTCACTTCTTTTTCGGCGTAGGCATTTTGAGCGTTTCCGTTTAGGCCGAAAGAACCGCGTTGCAAATTGTCAGTGCGGATAAACAGGGACGTATTCAAGGGCGTGGAATATAGTCCATATATATTACAATGAAATATAGAGAGTTATATCATTTACCTGACTCCATGACTTTTGGTACTGTTGTTGTCGGCGGCGACTTGAGTCTGTTCTGAGTTGCCTGTCCCATATCTACACAACTCCACTTTAGCAGATTTGTGGGCTCTGGAAATATTATACAAAATATTTATATCCGGCTTTAGTGGTAAACTGGTTACCTTAAATATAATTTATACTACTTAACAGAATTTTATCGCTGATCCACGATACGAGGTTAACATTATTGAATTAATTTAAAGCGTCTATTTAAAACTGAGGTCTAAGGATATAGACAAATTATAAAAGTGCTTTTGTTATTAATTAGTAATGTTGGCTGAAATGCAATTAACTAGTGTTGTCTGCAAAATAGTATTAATTCTGGAAACTGCTTACAAGATTAATAGTAAATTCATTACATCATTTTCTACTTTAAATTATTATTTTTATATAAATTCCTAAATGTTAGAGATGTAATGGTTAGTCTATTTCTAATGCTACGAAAGTGTAGTATATTTATTTTAATTATAATTGCGTAACATTAGTTGCAATATGGAGAAAGCAGTTTTTGTTAATATTAGTGTGAAAAAATCTCTTATATTTAGACAAATGAAGCCAACCTTCGTCTTTTTCTGTATTCTATACAAATATGAAATATATTTTCCAAGAAATATTCTGACTCTGGATCTCTTCTGGAAATAAAATAATAAGAGTATAGTATAACTATTAACTGTATAGTTGGTGGCGAAATTAGTTTATTGTTCTGGCGCTGGTCATGATTAGAATATATACATATTAAATTCCGCATGTTGTTCGAATAAATGGTTTAGAAACTTTAAATACTTAAAAGATTATATAATTATTATATTTACGCCGTCTAATACGTTACAATTACTAGACGCGTAAACCAATCGAAGTGTACAAAATACTCGAAATTACATTTATTAAATACTAGCTGTGCCCGCGGTTTTGATGGCATCAAATTTACAGTGTACGTGTTATTCTGATGTATAATTTATATCATCGTAAAGTTTCATTACAAAATGAAAATCCTTTCTGTAGTTTTTGTGTGAAAGAGTAAACATTCATCTATCCATTCATACTCACAAACTTTGGCATTTATAATATTAGTAAAATTACACTCACACTGCAGCATAATGGAAACACACCACTGAAGTTAAAGCAGCTATTGACAGTAACAACAGCAAAAGTGGTACTGCGACAGCTGCTGTTAATTGCTTCGTATAGCTTCGTGACGGTAGCTCATTCTTGCTCGGTGCCGTCCATTCATCGCGTGTATCCAGGGCTTTAAATGACTTTGCCGATTTGCTGGTATTCGGTATTTCGGTTAAGTATTCCAAATGTTCAGTGGTACGGTCTTTGTAGATTGTATTGTACTGAAAAATGTATATGGATCAATTAAAACAGGGACAGATCAAGTAAAACTAAAAAAATAAAATTATATAACTCTTAGAATGTGAAAGGTATTGCTAATCACCCTAGATTACAGTATATTAGCATTCAAAACCTACGATATATAGAAGAATTATTTAAAAACACTGAGTCTATTTTCCATAATCTAGTTTAGTAAATACGTATAAGCAGCAAATTTTTATTACTAATATAAAACTCACACACTATACACAATGGTAATCGTATATTAAAGTATTATTGATATTCATAAAACTTCAACTATTTACCAATTCAAAACTGCACCAATCCAACGTCAACCCGGCATCTCGAAATAATCTCTCGACCGTAGTTCTTTTGTATTCCCTCGGGCAGCTTGGTAAGCGAGACAATGGCCGTACCTCTTCACGTAGCCTCTTTAGTTCCGTAGAAAATGGCATGGAACTGCCGAGGCGTACAACGAGCCTGGAAGTGTAATTCGTCCTAATAGTATTGCGACTCTAATATACAATAGAAATGTAAAAAAAAAATCAGTACCTATACTAAGTAAGATATAGTAGATAGACTAGTGCTACCAATGGTCAATCAATATAAAATTAGAAACAGAGACTATAATTTAAAGCTAATAAGAATTTAATATTTGCGGTACTATTTCTTCTATACATACCCTTCTCCATCCTCTGGTTTTAGTGGTAATCTAGCACCCAAATCTATTGCGGATGCCAGAAAAGTAGTGTATAAGTCTTGATTGCTCTCTGTCCACAATTTCGTCCGTAATATATCCTTTAAACGTGACATTCTGAAATTAAAAAACTCAGAGCTGTAGTCTATCTTGTGTTGCCCTCCGATCGATACCTTATTCCCCTTCAACCGATCTCCTATACTATTTAAATGGTCATATTAGTTACCGAGGCTCGAAGCTTTAGAAGTGGCCACAGACCGAAAACAAGAGTTGCCCTTCAACCGCTCCATAAATCCTTCATTGGGCTTATAGTTCTGTACTCATTCCCGACTTGGCCAGGTGCAGCTGTGGTCAACATCGGAGTTAATCAATATAATTCTGAATATTTTTCTCACCTGTGTTCATCAAGTAGATCTTCCACATTAAGATTATCTATCTTCAATTCAACTTCATGACGCGCCATCTTCTCTTTTGGCTGGACTTTTAAAGTAATAAGGACACGGCGGGTTTCATAATCTTGGCGGTTTAAACCTATTATCTCTAGCTGCAATAAAAAGCGGAAAATTTTATTAAATAAATAGAATAAAGAAATAGAAACAAGCTTTATTCAAATGAACTTAATATTGGCACTTTTAAATACTCGTATTTTTTACTACCCACTCATTCGTAACGCAGACTCATCGCAAGAAAAACGAACAAGAAAATTACGTGTTGATCTTTCAAATAAATTTTGTTCGAAGTAAATACACATCAACAAGGATTAGGCATGCGACAGTCAACGTGAAATCGCTACGCACTCATTCTTTGTTCAATTAGATAACATTGTCAGCGCTATGAATGTTAAGTTTTATGTGTTTAAGATTTTTTTCTATAAAAAGATTATCATTTACTTAGATTCTAATCCTATTACTTTTAACATTGTTTCAAAATTGTACTAACACTGAACAAGAGCATTGTAAGTGTTTACTTTAAAGCAAGCATTTTATTGCTAATTTTACCATAATCGGAATCTTAGTTCCTCTCGGTGGAGTCCCAAATATGAAACCTGAATGGTGTCTTCCGCTATATATATACCGGAGCCAAGATGGTAGCTCCGGCTTGCCCTTCAGTGATGCATGGAAACGATACTGCTGGTCAAATTCTGGAAACAACAGTGGTACACTTTATTAGTTTAAGTATTCTTACATAATTTTATAACAATCCAAAAATTAACTGTTAATTAGATAATACTTCAATCAATAAATCAATTACTTTATTTTGCTGAATATAGAGGGGTGGCTAATGGTAAAATTTATATTTTCTGTATATCCCGCCCATAGGCAGAATATACAGAAACTATAAAATTTACGCATGCGAATTTAGTATTATGATTAATATAACATTTTAAATCAATAATAATACTTTACAATTAAAATAAAGTAATTATAATTAGAAACGCATGCCATAAGGTTTTTTTAGGAAATATCAACACTGTTCTATGAGTGGAGTGATAAATTCCTTGTTTAAATCACAAAACAACGTTTAAATTTAAAATTAAATTTAAATTTTAACATTCAAAATTCTTCTCTTTAAACATTTTTTATTCAACGATCAAAATTTGTTAAATACTTTTTTGTAGTATACAAGTGAACTGCGATATAAGTAAAAGGTAAAAAAGTAGGAATATAAATATATGCTGATCGTACTGGTAGTCAGCATATATAATACTTAAAAATACAGCAGTGGTATTTGTGGTTATATCAATTTAAAATATTGAAGTTGTATTGACAAGGACAAATTGAAAATTATCAGGTATCGAAAAATGAATTAAATAGGTAAGTATTAAAAAATATATGTATAAACGCAATGTGTGATTTTTTTGTAGTCGCTACTGGTGGCGGAAAATGTGTATACAAGTACCGATAGCAATAGTAAGCGTGTGCAACATGAACGGAGTTAATGCCATTAGAACAAAATTTTTTATTTATGTTGCAATATTATTATATTTATTAACATGAAATTATTAAGAGCAACATACCTACATTACATAATATACTAGATTAGTTAGCTCTTATGTTATATTTAAATTAGACTTTACAAATTAGGTTACATACCTTGATATGTCCAATTAAATAAATTCGGACTGATTGGTATAGCAAACATTTCAGTTTCAACAGCATTATGTACGTGAGTAGATGATACGGCTACTAACACCACCGCAATAATTGGTATTAATTTCAGAGTATTCATTTTAGGTCTAAAATAATAAAATATGTGTAATTTTATTAACTACGTCAACAGGCAACATTTGAAATATAGAATATACTTTACTACACAATCTTGATATTTGTTTATTTATTGAACGAGCTCTACAGATAAATGCACTGTAAATATAAATATTTGAGCGAAAGATATGAAATACAAACGCACGGTTCTTATATGTACGCCTACATAAATTCTTCCATCTTTCAAAAATACTATGAGCACGTGCTATAATGAAAAAATTCGACCTAATTCACAAGAATAGAAACAAGGCGATCGATTTCTATTTTAACTATGTAAGTACCTAGCGAATGTTATGGACTGAATACGTATCGCACATGTGCAGTAAAAGGAACGCCCATCGCTAAACAGAGAGGGATAAAGGATTATTCTACATTTAATCAAAGTTATTCGTATTTTGAACATACATATTTTTTTGTTCATAAAAATAAATACTGATTTAACACCTTCGACATATACAAATTTAGTTTAACCTGAAAAAAAACCGGATGGTTTAATTTTAATATTATAAATATAATAGACACGATTTTCTATCTATATGTACAAATAAATAGTAAAATATCTATTATAAAGTAGTACGTTGAAGCACTATACTTCTATAACAAATTGTTAGGGAATATTTTAGTTATATTGTATTATTTAAAGAATTTCTTATTGTCACAGAGCCAAGTAATAGTAGCAATAAATCTAATTAAAAATCTATTCTTTACGTCGTTAAAGTTGTCACAGGTTTAAAATAATATTCGTATTTCCGTATACAATGTCAAAAATAATATCGAGTTCGTCCCTGAAAACAGGGCGTGACGTAAAATTATACAGACGTCATTTGTTAAAAGCCAACCGAATAGAGGCGTCATAAATATTGAATTCTGCGTTCCGTTTCACTATTGTCTATACGCTTAATTTTATATAATCTGTCTTCTTATATTCTCATGAAAGTAGATACAATGTATTAGTTAATACTACAGTCATAAAATATTGCAAGTATTATATTTTGTAGCAGTGTTAGATAGAAATAAAAAGTGAACATTACAACACTGATATTTTATATTTTTAATCTTCAAAAGCACAATGACTCTTTAAATCAGTCGGTTAAAACACTGTTTATATGTGCGGATGTGGGTGTAAAATATGTCACTGACACTCATTCATTGACAAATATGTCAAAAAGGGCTACGGTATAAAACGATTTTGCGATTTCGGACGAATATCGCTATTTACGAAAGAACTATCAAACGTATCAACAATAATGTAATCAGAAGTGCATCAGATAGGGCGTTAGCGCGCCAAAACAGCGAAAATAGGCTTTGTGAACGTTTAACCTCGTAGTTGTGGTTCAATCGTTTTCGCATATATATCGTTTATATCATGTTGAAGTTCAAAAAAATGGGATCGGATAAAGTGCCGTTGTTACTTGTGACTGCAAACGTTGGATCTATATTTGAGGAAGTAAGCATTACATTAATATATTTATACCTTTCTATTGCAATAGGCATTAGGTCCTTCTTGCCTTCGGCCCTTTGCCTGAATATTAACTGCCCAGAAGAGATAAGTGTTCTAAATTTAAAATGTTATTTATATACTGACCTAGTAGATTGTACTTGATGATGTACCTTTTAGTTCTCTTATAAATATATAAATTGATATTTTACAGTTTCAAACCAAAAGAGTAAAATAGAATCCCTGTGATATGACTTTGTTCTTTGGTACATCTGTCACAGTGCAATATTATTTACTATTATAGATTATTATATATCAAATTTAGAATAGTTACCTTGTTGGTGTGATATATTATTATTAAATTAAATTTATTAAAATAATATTATGTTATGCTACTGCTTTTATGGAGATAAAATAGTTTCTTTAGCATAGTTTTTTATAATATTTAAGTAGAAGTGAAAAACAGGAAATAAATAATAAAAACACATAAAAGATTGTTATAGTGGATAATGTCACACTACTATTACTAACTACTATTATTCTTGAAAATCAGAAATATAATTATGGCACCTCCACTCTAATTGTCATGACAAATTTTTTTTATAGAATATCAATGAAATAATGAAATTAATAATAGGCAGAAAAATATAATATATAAAAATATATACTTTCATAAGCAGCTAAAATCTCCTAAATTATTTTATGTTTGAATTGTAATATTAAAATATTTTTTATTACATTAATTATTATCGTTTTTGGAGCTCAGAAATTGACATGTTCAATAAAACATTAAGATTGTTCTAAGACTTAAAAATTAAAAAAAAATAAGTGTCTACTATTAAAGTATATTTATTTGCTAATACTTTTTTTAGTTGTGAAATTATTTAAGTGGATGTAACATACATCTATTTTACGTTTGTGTCATGTAAGATATTGATCCTGCACTCATTAGACAAATATGATGCTAAACCACTACACCATCAAGGCTATGTCATACTTAAATAAATTATACAAAAAACTATTTGAAGTATTTATCCTGAAATGTGTGTGATCAATATACAATCATAAAATGATTTTAAGGCCCTATACAATAGAAACCACAAATGCCTGTGGTTTTTTGATGGATATGTATTGAATGGTGGTTCCGTATGTGATAACAATATATGTTGGTAGGGCAGCAGTGGATTGATAATAACATGTACTTATGATCCATTACTAGCTATGTACTATATGAGGTTGACTTACATGCGGTTCTTGCTGGAAACTATCATGATATTCATAGTGAATTTGACATGATGGCTAACTGACCTGATCTCATCTTTATATTACCATCCACCAGTGGCGAATGCACTATGCCATTATCATCTTTTTAAAAAAATGTATCGTAAATTTGAAAGTTTGAAAGAAATATAACGTTGTGCCTTTATTAACATCTGTCTTTATCCAAATGGATCTTTAGTGAAAGAATAAAAATGTTAAAAAAAAAATTAAACCCAGAGACGGCTGTACTCGCTCCCCTGCCACATTGGTTTTCAATATATACAGTCAAATATAGGCTTATAGTACACATTACAATTACACGCCTAAGAGCCATTTTTTACAATCCATTTTAATATCCATTTCTAATTATAGTTTACTTCTATACCAGACTACAAATTTTGATAGGGTTTAAACTATAATTTTAAAAGTTCTTGGTTTATATATGTATGATAGGTTGTCTGTGTGAGATTGCTTAAAGCGGTAAAGCCACCTTTTGTGCATTAATGTAAGATTGTATATTTTTATGTATGCAATAAAAAGTTATATTAATAATAATATCCCTGGACAATGCACACAGTGCCATCCCAAGTTCCAAGCTAAGCAGAGCTTGTGTTATGGGTACTAGACGACTGATATACATACTCATAGATACATTTTTTTGTAAATATATACGCAATCTATATAGGAAAGTAGTACCGTAACATAACGTAGCACTTACACCACATCTGTTCATACTCTCCGTCTGACTGCAGGATAGTCACAGAAAAAAAAATATATAGGAAACACCCAATACAAACAATAGTATTCATAAGTACAAATATTTGTACTGTGCGAGAAATAGATCCCACGACCATCAGAAGTAAAGCGGTGTGCTAAACCGCTAGAGCACTGAGGCCGTCAATTATTATTAATATTATAACCATTAGTAAATATATAACAGTTTTTGAAGTAAAATAACATATTTGCTGTTTTGTCACGCAGCCATCGGTAATGCTCCCAATATGGACATCAGAGTTTCTACAGGCGGTCTCACGGATGGACCCGAAGTTCATTGCGCTACATCTACAAGAGGTCGGCGGTAAAGCCTACGAGAAGTCAATGCAATACGTGAAGGACTTTGTGCAGAGACTCTGCGAATGTCCAGAGTTGCGGCTCTACGACAAGATCAGAACGTTCCTGGACGAAGACTTTAGTTCACCGGAGAAGTTCACGGTGAGTTATTTTTAAGACCCGATGCAAAAAGACTCGTGTTATAAGTTCTTTTTTATATCCATATTTTGCAATCGGCTCACCACGACTGTAGATTTGTTGTGGGAGTGTGTAGTATGCTGTTATAATTGCGATTTTTTTGGTAGAGGAAGTTAATTAAAATTTGAATTTTATTACTAGTTATAGTAATTAGATTACTTTGTAATTAATGTTCACAATAAAAACAGGTACTTTAATTATATTGCGGTTAGCGTTTGTTTATTTATGTACTGTACATGAACAATCAAACCATTACGCATACACAGATGTATAATTTCCCGAGCGAATCACGGAATACTTATTGCTACATATATAACTAATACCTATATTATGTAGATTTTGTGATTTGTATTATAAATTGTTAGTAATGTGGACTAATAACCCCATTACTATGTACCATATCAGATTGGCTTCCACGCGGAAACCATCATGATAAATTCTTCATGAATTTACCACGATAGGTTTACTGACCTGGCCTCATGCTTATCCTATGGTGCCCGCGAGAGGAAACCGTTAGCGCTGGCGAGTGCACTATTCCATATTTCAATTACTGTCCTTAAAAAAAGGAAAAGATTTTATTGTTTAACAAGGAATAACATGTGTTTAACAATGCTGACACCAAGGATAGCGTAATTTAATTACTCTAACCGACATAAGTGGTAGCGGCGACAGAGGTCATAGGGTCGGTTCCGTTGACGTCAGCCTTAATTAATTCCTTTTGGACAAATTTAATTGAAACTCAGTTATTGCACTCAAACTCAGTATTTATACCACTTGCCACATTGGAATAGAAATTTCTTTATTCAAATAATTTAAGCACTTTTGAATAGTCATAGTTATGTCTTTTTAATCTACCGCTGAATCGAAAAGCTGTTCTCGTTCTTGTGATGAACAAAAACGAGCAAGAAACTGAGGTGTTGCTCTTTTAAATAATCGTTGTAACTACATTTTTAAGTCGTTGTAACGTTGCAGTTTTTAGCAAAAGATAGAGTGTTTCAAGAGGCTGGTTTATATGTAAAATACATGTAGTACCACCCGTGCGAGACCAGAGCGGGTAGCTAGTATGAATATAAAACACGTGACTCTTCCGGCTCGAAGGACCAAATACAGTATTGTTTATAGGAATTGGGAAATTTGTTAATAAAATTATTTATAAAAGATTATTGTTCATAAAATGTTTAAATAAGTACATACATTTCATTTAAAGTTGTCCACTACTCTAACATTCTAAGTACGAGTATCTGAATATTTTATACGTCATGCGATATTGATTTTACGTAATTTATTAATGATTGCATTCAGGTCACATCTGTTATGTACGGGTAAATTGTGTGTATTTGTCGGTATATACCTTCGTATATATAACTTCGTAACAATAAATCGAATGCTAATGTTGTCTTTATTTACTGTAAATATCTTCCTTACTCATACATCCAAAATTTGTAGAATATACAAATTAATCACTGTGTATGGAATTCATTAATTTTCCCATACATTTTTTTATACCGGGGGTTGGGATTTTGTCAGGTGCTTTAGACCTGTAGTACTGCGACCTACATAGATCTATTGTTCTCGCCCTTTTTCAGAAATTTTATATGTATATAGTATACAGTAATACTACGTATAAAGTATGTCTGAGAATAGGTTTATAACAAATTTTCATAACCCTAATTGTTAAGGTTGGCTCAACCCAAAAATTTTATGTTTTCGTCAAATGTTTTTATTTTTAATATATTGTTATTTAGCATTGAAATATATAACCCTACATTTTCACTCTTCTATCATTACCCCTATTTTATAATAGTGATTTAATTTATAAAGCAAAACAGCGTTTGCCGCGTCAGTTAGTTTGATTATAAAAAGCATTTGTTTTGTACTCTCGCAGGCTCTCGGCAACATGTACTTCGCTCACTCTTCGCTGACAGACCTGAAGATCTGGGACTTTGATCTGAAGGCATACGTTGATGTGCAGGGCAAAGAGATTCACAGCGGGAACATTGAGAAGGTTACCACCAAAGAGAAAGCAAAGTTCCCCCAGCACTTCTTCCCTGAAGTAAGTTTTCATTATTACATCAAAGTTTTTTTTGTCATATAAATACGTTTTATTTCATTTCATACACGAATAGTGTAATGGAAAACAAACTGTTTTTCTATATACGAATAAAATAAATAGGTTTGCAATTTATTATTAACATTTTGAGATTGCAGTTGCGAGCGAAGTTTTTCGTAGTAATATATGTATATGAAATATGTAGATATTTCGTAACTGTTAGTTTAAATTGTCAGTAAGGTCGTAACTTAATCTGCCGACATCGGTGATCTAGCGGCGGCATACCGCTTTAATTCCGATGGTCTCGAGTTCGAATGCGAGGAATCCAGAACATTTGCTGAGTGTTCTATGTATATTATGTATGTAGTTACAAAAATAAATACTGTAAGTATTTATATCCGTTGCCTAGTATAACACGAGCTCTGTTTAACTTGGGACTAGGTGACGTGTGTATTTATTTATTTATTTAATTCAGGCTACATGGCCCATATTATAAATGCCTTATAGACTAACATACATAAGAAATAATAATAAAATATGAAAAATAAAATTGTCTCTATGGTCACGGCACTGACGACGGCAATCTGCCACGGTAGCGCCGATAGACCACCCTCTTCGGCCAATAGTTCTCCTTCTTGAAGGGCAGCATGTTGGTGGGGACCAGGGCCACGAACGCTTTGAAGCTCGCGTTGTGGCTCGATTCCAACTGCGTCACCCTCAATGTCAGGTTGCTTTTAGTCCGGATGTAGTCAACAATGTCCTGTTCCTTGGTAGCGTAGTGTAGGCGGAATAGGTACATTGCCGTGGTCGGTGTTGCGGCACGTAACAAGAAGTTGGGCCCTGTCAGTGCTGTGCCACAATGGTTTCGATTGACCCTCTTTGTGTGCCTCTTCTTTTGTACCGTGACAAAACCATCATCATCACGGTCAGCAGACTTTGTACACATTGGGGTAATTTTCAGAGTCACTTTAGGCTCATTCCGCTGAGCAGTTGGTTTTTTAGTGGCGTATTGTCCAGGGATATTATTATTATAATAATGAAGACCCTGAATGCTATTAACAATAGTAGTTGGAAATGCCCAGCAGTGATAAATCGTAAGGCCACCGACGTTGAATGGATATGTATTGTAATAAATTTGTATGTAGTTATATGAGTTATATTACCTAACTGGCTGTGTCTGCGACTTCGTCCACATGGAATTTAACTTTATTTTTCTAAAATAAAAGTAGCCTAAGTTACTCCTAAGGCAGGTATCTGATGTAATATATCAGATACCTGCCAAAAAAAGTCCCGTCAAAATCGGTCCACCGATTTCAGAGATTAGCCGACAGATAACAAAAAGACAGATAGACAAATATTGTAAAAAATTTTTTATTTCGGAAATACATATGTATTATATATATGTACATATATATAGAAATCACCCAGACCGGCACATTCAATCGTACTCATGAATACAAAATGTTTAGAAATAGATAGCGTGATTCCAAAGGATGGTTTATATGTATAACAAGCTGTACTATCGTGACTTCGTCCGCGTGGAATTTCCCTTTATTTTTCTAAAATAAAAGTACCCTAAGTTACTCCTTATTACATCTACCTGCAAAATAAAGTCCCGTCAAAATCGGTCAAGCCATTTCAGAGATTAGCCTGAACAAACAGACAGACAAAAGTAGTAAAAATGTTATGTTGGTGTAAGTACTGTCTTTATATTCATATGCATGTAGAAAACCCGGTTATTTCAATATTACAAACAGACTCTCTAATTTTATTTATATGTATAGATAATAACAATAGGGTGCAATCTGAGGGAATGGGATTGTTAGTAATGTGGACTAATGAACTCATTGCTAGCAATGTACCATGTCAGGTTGACCTCCATTGTTGTAAACGGTGTGTTTGTCACAATGGGCTCACTGACCTGAACTCATACTCATCTTATTATCCTGCACTGGTGCCCCGTAAACCGTTAGCGCAGGCGGGTGCATATGCATGTTTGCGGTTTATGGACGCAGTTGCATAATTTTTTAAGGATGATATGGAATGGCATTATCATCCATAAAAAAAATTATGCAGCTTTTTCCATAAATCGCCAAAATTCGTTTTTTATTTCTACACTATTGTAAAAACAAACCTCCTCCTACTGGTCGTTGATTACACATAAAATTTAATAAGAATCGGTCAAGTCGTTTTATAGGATTTTTAAACGAACACAAGAATTTTATGTGAATGAATAATTTATACTTTGACTTTATATCCGCAGTGTAAGTGGTCCCGTAAGGGTATACTGCGGACTCGCTGGATGATCCGCGGCACCGCCGTCGAGTTCGTCAACATCCACCTCTTCCACGACGCGTCCAATCTTCTTGCCATGGAGCCCTTTCCCTCAGTTGGTATAATTTTGTCTATACCTTTTTTTTAATGCTACGCCGTTGGCAAACAGGCATACGGCCCATCGATCGTAATCGGTTACCGTGCCCTGAATTACCAGGGTTGCTATACTTTGTCTATAGGTTTTCGCAGGCTGTATGTGTACATGCTTTTTATTGATTATAATAAAATGACTATAAATTAAACGTAAATCAAGATATCTATTATGTTCTTAATTGAATAGTAGGTGGCATATTCAAAATTCTTAAAATATAATGTAATCTTTGCAAAAAAACCTTTAAGAGCTCTTAAATAAAGAACACGTTGAAAAGATGACAAGTTCTGGGTCCGCCCTCAATAGGGTTACGGAGGGTAGAGCCGTAGGAGTTTTATGCCAAAAGGCACATCTCGACCTTTAAAAGTCTTTATTAATATTACAAATAATATTATCAGAGTAAAAATCACGTTTATTCTATTCTATATAGAATGGAATATAATAGAAAATCATTTATATAAATAAACTTAATTTAAGCACTTAATCTACCGCTTATTCGGAAAGCTGTCTCATCACAAGAAGAAAGAAGAATAAGCAAGAAACTTGTGTGTTGCTCTTTTAAACAATCCTTGTAAGTTTACATTTTACAAGTCGAAACGCGTGAATACAAACTACCAACCAGCACTAATTTATTTAGGCTCAAATATAAAAACACAATAAGATGAAATCAGTCGTAGTGATAAGAGCAGACCATATAATGTGATAATTGTAAACAACTGTACAAAAATGCTTAATATAACAGCTTAGGTCCTTAATTAAGAGTGAAACTAACATCTTTAATATATTAAATTGTATATTTTTATTGATTAATTCTTTATTGTACCAGAAGTGAATTACAAAGAATATAAAGATAAGTAATAATGTACAAAAGCCGGTCTTAACGCTTAAGCAATGTCTTCTAGACAAACTTTGGGTAGAGAAGAGATGACAGAAAGTGGTAGATGACCAAGAATTGACTAGAGAATTAAAAATAATAGCGGATTTTTAATAATACGATTACTTAGATATGTACTCTATTTTTTAAATACTCGTATAACTAACAAAATATGAAGTAGCCCTAAAAGTTTTGGGTTATTGAAACGATTATGTATAAACAAATTCAATACGAAAATTATAGAAGTAATAAATTGACTATAACGTATAAAGGTTAAAGTTTGGAAACCACTGCTCCACACAAATGAAGCTTTGTTATAGCAGTATATAGATAGATACAGGGACTTATGTTTAATTGAAACTGCAGACATGTGATAAGGGTTTGACGTGTATTGTGCAAGCGATGTCTGTCTCGATAATATAGTAGTATTACGTACGGCCATGTGTTTATTCCCATACCATAGGTCAGATAGCGTAGCGTGAATTGAAGATAATAATGACTGTATAAGTACCCATTATTTGAAATACAAAGTCCTATGTATTAGCAAATGAAATTTATTATTTTATTTATTTACTAGCTGACATTGCAAACGTTGTTTTGCCATATATATAAAAATCGCTATTAAAAAATTAGGGTAATGATAGAAGCGTGAAAATTTAGGGTTGCATGTATTTTTTAATGTCATATTATATAAAAATATAACAAATATTTAGTGCAAAAAACAAAATTTGTGGGTTTTAAGTTTTATAGGTATATTCAGGAGATCTGAGTATCGGCTACTATCTGTTTTGAAGGTGGACAACCCTTAGGACTTAGGGGTATGAAAAATATGCAACCTACTAAAAATGCATATAAAATTTTATAAAAATCGGTCAAGTCGTTTCGGAGGAGTATTGTAACTAACATTGTGACACGAGAATTTTATATATAAGATTCCAATGTTACAACACCATAACGTAAATAATTTTATGGCAAAATAAAGATATTTACTTCTCTCGACGTTTCGACTAGGTTGCACTAGCCGTGGTCAGGGTCCGTGTTAAGTGTTAAGTTTTTGCGTGAAAGAGTAAAAACATCCATCCATACTCACAAACTTTCGCGTTTATAATATTAATAAAATATATATACTATATATAATGTACATATATAGGTCTGTATAATGTATACATATTTATTTATTGGTTATATGAATGTGTGTGCCATCATAATGCAATTTTTTCCTTTCTTTTTCTTGATGGTGACGACAATAAATGAATATATATACACGATGCCATCAATTATTATCATTACTACGTTTTTCAATACTACTATGTTTTTCCCAAGGTTGTTTACTATATGTTGACCGATATTTACCCACTATTATTACTTTTTTTCACTGTCTATGAAATTTTCAATCAATGTATGAATTTTCTTTTTCACAATATACCTCGTTTTTGTGGTTTTGAAATTATCAAAAAATTAAATTTATCATCTGTCTATTATATCATTATAGTTGTATGTATGTACTTAATTCGTGCAGGTGTACTGCCGAAGTCGACGGCGCGCGTTACGTCACACGTTACGCCACCTCCACTCGGACGTGAATGCAGCCCCGTACTTCATATTTGGTGACTTCAACTTCAGGACTGACACCGGCGGTGTCGTTAAGGTACTCAAGTTTATTATATACATATATCAAACTAAAATATTTTCATTCGCCTGATATGTCAAGTCTACTCTACTCACTGATCTGTAATAGTTACTAATCATCGGGCATTTTTTTGTGAACTCCCGCGATACAGGTTCGCTTAGTGCGGGGTCCAATGTATAATCGACTTTATAATATTTGTGTGATGGAAAAATAATGAATAAATAAATAAATTATACTAGCCACTTTTATTTTTATTTGGAGAAAATAGCTCATGGTGACTGCCCATGCCCGTCCCGGGAGAGATAAGCGGGTACTGCGAGACACCTACTCACTAAAAACTCCAAGGTATCCCGACGAAGCGGCTATTGCTGGAGTAGCGATATTCGTATCGTCAGTCCACTGAGACTCCGGCGGCGTCTACCTGTTTTAGTGTGCCCACTTCCTTTTTGTGATTTTTTGCTTTTTGTGAACATACTATACCTACCGGAGATAGTATAATTGTGTCTTAGGATTGCATACAGCGCCATCTTGTCCCAAGCTAAGCAGAATTTGTGTTATCGGTACTAGACAACTGATATAAATATCTATTTATATCAGTTGTCTAGTACCTATAACTATCTATACTATATACTTCTATATACATAGAAAACACATTAGTATGGATGATTCCAATTTATATCGAACATCGATTATTAATTATAAACACATCTGAAAACGTATTTTTATATTCCTTCTCTTTCACACGATTTTTCCTAATTTGAAAATAAGTGATAAAACACTAATAGATAAATACGTTCAACAGAAAGTGACAGAAGATTTGACATCAATTCGTATGCAAAACGGCAACAGCGCTGACGCGTCGCGGCTTCAATTCCGAGGTACCGACGAGCGTATAGTACTGACTATCGGCAAGAAGGAATTCGCTCATGCAGACCACCAGAAGATCTTCAGAGAACCATGGGTACGTTGTATTGTATAGTCTATAGCTGACTTAACATACACATTCTTTCACGCTCGATCGCGCGGGATAGACAGTACGAGCAATCGTGGTGATTTTATTTAACTATTTTTGTTGTCACATTTTACTTCTTCTAATCACATTCTTTTAAAATTTGATTCCACAGATTATTTTCCAAAGACCCTTTAAAACTTTTAAATATTTCAATAATTCTATAATTATGTCTTTTCCATAGTCAGCAATGCTCAATTTTGTAATATTAATAAATTATTATAAAAAGACTCTAAAGCACGCACGCCTGATGGACTCGGGCACGCGCAAGCTGACGTCGCGAGCACTATTTCCCGTTCTTTGTCTATATTTACGTATATGCTATAAAGACCGTTTCTCGTCCTTTTTGCTGCATTGCATTACAAATTTAACAGTGGAATAAAGAAATAACTATTCAGAAATATTTATTTGAATAAAAATATTATTAATATTGTTTTAACTTCACTAAGTGATGATAGAGTAAATGATTATTTTTTATGAATTGTTTTATTATTAAAAAATCACCTGTATCTTTATAGCAATAAATTGTATTTTCAGTTACAAAGGTTTGACAAAGAGCTTGAAGCACTCCGGCCGCATCTATACGAATTTCCCGTAAAGTTCCCACCGTCGTATCCCTTTGAGGAGGATATACATCTACCTACGCATTATATGAAGACCAGGTATGACTATTCATATGACATTTATTATATCTATTATAATTGTGATCTGTATTGTTCTATGTGTAAAATATGCTAACACTGAATGTAGAATTCTTTGATTTTGCGTACTTGATATGAAAACTAATTAAATAATATGTCCAGATTTTTATTAAAACGTGGGTACCTCAATTGCACATATTTCAGCCACCAGGCAGTTTGCTTTGGATGATGTGGTTGAGGAGTGAGATACTCGTACATTAGTGATGTTACAGGATTAGAGGCATGACGTATTAGTACTCCAGAATAGTTATATACGACGGTTACCACTTACCAACGGGTCGTTTGATCTGGAAGAAATATTAGCTTATTTGCCCTTCCAATTACATAAAAATCCATAAAACTTTGTATTAAGTTAAAACTAAGTAAATTAAATATGAATAGTTTTTGTAAGAATTTAATGTAAATAGAGTAGTAGTAACCTGTTAGATAGGTTAATCAATAACCTAATCAAACTAGAAAGACTAATTATGCATTCATTTGCTTCGGATTTGCTATTAGATCCGGCTCGAAGGATTAAATGTATAATTTATATATACTGCTAAATATGAAGAGTGGTATGTAATGATTTATGTTTTAAGAAAAATCTGATACAGTATAATGATGACTATATAGTATTTTATGTGCGATAATTTTGTTGTACGATTTTTTCTTTCACGATATCTGCCATAGCCATATTAATACACGGCAAACAGTTTGCATCAATAGACGTGTAGTAAGAGATTTTTCATACAACTGATTACATTTTATTACTTTTATTACCTCTCTATTACGCCGTGACGATATGTAGGCTTGTATGGATACAAGCCATTCGATTATTCCATGAAACGGTTGAAATAAATGGGACCACTAATAATTTGTTATAGATGTCCAGCTTGGTGCGACCGCATACTGCTGTCTCAGTCAGCGCGCCTTCTAGTCCAGCACCAGGACACCAGTCGGACTGGGGATAATAGACATTTGCATTCATCCAGGTACGCTGGTCGATATTTATTAGAGATATACATAGCTATGTCCCATATCTGTCAAAGCCTATTTATTTTAGCTAACAAACTATTTCGTCTCTTTCTTTCGTGCTATTTTCGTAAATTGAAATAAAGAGAAAGAACATAATACATTTCTAAGAGGGTTTACTTTTAATGGCCGGAGGACGGTGTTTAGTGTGACAAATAAGTTTTTATACCACATGTTATGTTATCAACAAAAAATATTTAACGTAATCCTTTACTTTTTTCATTTACTCTTTTTAATTCAATTACTGACGCAAGAGGCTTATGATCTTAGTTCTCAGAAGTGGCAGTATGGTATTGTAGCAGAAGTCAATTTGTCATACTGTCGGCATTCTGTTAAAACTAACTAATTACGTACTGAAATTTTCCAAATAGAGGAATCGAACCCGAAGCCATTGGAAGTAAGGCTGTGCGTACACACAGCCTTACTTCCAGTGGCTTTGGCATTAAGACTATGTTTTAGCGATTTAGCTAGACCATTGAGAGATGGCTTTAGGTATACCTGTGATGCAGTTCATGTATATACATGACGCTTTTTACTTTCCTTCAAGCAATATATTATGGATTGTTATAAAATTATTGTGTATTGCAGGAAGTCTGTGGCAGAGTCTAGCGAAAGCAGCGGTCGCAATTCCGCTGATGGTAGTCCGGCTCGAGGACAGGTAAAACTATTTTTTTTTTAACGCTGGCGGGGCACCAGTGTAGGACGATATGATGAGCATGAAATCAGGTCGGTTAGCCCATTTTGGCAAATGGCAATTTACTACAATAGCTTCCAGAAGAACCGCATGTAGGTGTACCTGACATGGTACATTGGGTTTTTAGTCCAAATACTATACTAACAATACCCATTCGAGTGGGAAGGGGTTGTTTGTTCGATATTTAGTGTGTTGTACACTAAATATCGAACTAACTTGTGCTAGCAATGGGGTTATTAGTTGTCAAGTTCTTACTAACATCCCCTTCCTGAGGGGTTCACACTAACAAGTGGTTGATTGACAACAGTCGAGCCCGGGCAAGGGTCTGGAGAAGAAGGGCAGCGTGGCCGAGCTGGACGCACTGTGCCTGCCGCCCGCCGCCGTCAGCAGGAAGAGCATCGCGGACCCCACCAGCGTGCAGCAAGCCATCAACGCCAGGTGAACTCCATACACACACATACATACAAAAATAGTGTTTTTTACCAGTTCTTTAAGACAGTAGCTAGCTGATAAACACCATACACACATACACAAAATGTTCCATCTGTATTTCTTGCCGGTTCTATACTGAAGTAGTTATCCGATAACCATACACACATATCTGTATATACATAGAGAAATATACCAGTTGTGTTTCTTGCCTACAGAAAATGTTCTAGTTAAGTTTCTTTGTCAGTTCTATACTGAAGTAGCGAGCCGATAAACACCATACACACATATGTGTACATACATACAGAAAATGTTGTAGTTGTATTTCTTGCCAGTTCTGTACTGAAGTAGGCAACCTAATTGGACGACGGAATAATGATGGAAAATTTCGATGTGCTTAAGTGGTAAAAAAATCATATACCTTCAATATTTTATCAGCGAAGAAAGATTGTAATTAATAAATAATTCAAATTTATTAATTACAATAGAATGTAAGTAATATGTAATTCAAATTGTATTGAAATTTAAAATGTATAAATGTATTTGTTTTAGTAAAATAGAATAGCAAACAACATGGCAGTTATCAGATGAAAAGTAGTATATATAGATAACTGCTGTTATATATAACATATAGAACTAATAAGCCTATGAACAGCAGCACGGATCTAACATCATCATGTGATGCATGTAGAACTATTAACACAGTTATAAATCTTTTATGAAGAAAGAATAGTTAAAAAAATATATTATAATACCTTTTTGCTACAACTGTATTTTTTAAAAATTAATGTGTTCTATAAATATTTTATCTTGAATTTCATATGAACCAGTTTGCTAAGGTGAGTTTTATGTGGAAGGTAGGACGGGTGTCTTGTGTGTATGCTGTAACCTAAAAATATTAAGTACTAGGTGATATCGCTACATAACCATCTAAAATCACATAATTGAAAAATGGAATTATGAATTCATGTCAAACACAACGACGTGAATAGCTGACTGACTGAATAAGTATTATGTATTTATGAAAGGGCGGACTATATACATTTATGTTTTTTTCAAACGCAAATAGTAAACTATTTGTATTCATCATGCTATCTCCTTCATTCTCTACAAACTCTGCCTTCAGTCCTTCACAAACAAACAAAGCAAATCTTTGACAGTAATTTGGTGTGCTAAATGTATTATGGATATACATATATATGTACAGCACATATAAAGGAAAATATTGATTTATTAAAAAAAACAACTGCTTGTAATCCCGCTCAAAGGACCAAATAAAGGTTGTATTGATTAATAAAAATGACTGCATAATTTTTATGTACAACATAACGATCTTATATTTTTTTTGTATTTCAAAATACAATAGTTAAGCTATTCCTTGATACATCGGTTAATTAATCAGTTTTCATATTTTTAGATGAGCCCGCGTCTGGTGTCAGTGTAGTAGTGGTCACCCATCCCATTATCATGTTATGATGAAATGTTTTTTAAAGGGTACAAGAGCTGATTTTTTGTTGTTAATAATGATGCACAAATAGATGTTAGCATGCACACTGCACCCAATGGGTATATTTATGTATGATTAATTTATATATTTAATGTAAGTACAATATAAATATTAAATGGCCACTAAAATTAGCCTCCATTATCCTTAGTCACGCCTTAACTTAATAACTATTTAACCAATAAATTCTTATTTTATTGTTTTCTAAAACTTATGTCCACTTGCGGAAAGAAAAATTAGGAAAAGTTACATAGATGTTTGAAATAAGTCTGAAAACATTGCGATTATTTACTAATTTCCGTACATTATGGATTTGGATCATTTTAACCTGGCGCGTTTGACTTGAACTCGCGCATTTACTAATACGGCATACAAGATTTATTTTATGGATTTGCGTAGAACATATGTAGAATTCTATTTTTGGGAATTCAAAAAGGCTTGAAACTTGAAAGGACCATTTCTATGTACGGGTTTGTTACAGTACACATCTTTTTAAATATATTAAGAATTAAATAGTCAAATGGTTGTACTTTATAATATAACTGTACAGGACTCCTTACATTCGGGCCGCTGGCTGGCACGACATTCCATATTTTAAATATTTGTAGTTTTATATGAATATTTGGTTGCTATGGTTTTGTTAATCCTTTGTTTATGGTAATTAATGGTAAAATGGTAGATGAGCACACGTGGTATGTTTGGTGACCAAACGTGAACTAAATTTGATGTGACTGAAACGATCTGTTATGAAAACAATGATGACGGCGCACAAGTACAAAGTACAAAAATCGTACGACTTTCTGCTTTGTGCAGTAGGTTCAAAATCGATTGAATGTAATGGAAATAAGCCCGTTGTAGGGTAGCGGAGTCTGAACACTCCCCGATCCGGCGGAAGCTGGTACGCAACCAGTCGGAGGGATCGCCGAAGCCGGGAGACGCGCTCTCGACCGAACTGCGGCGGCTCGTGGAGGGGCCCGCCAGGAAACGGAACGAGTACGGTGTCATTGGGGACACCGCCTGCATGGGGGACCATAAGGTATATAAGAATAATAATCTCTAGACAAAATATCAATATAACATTGGAACTCAGCCTTTGGTGCAAATTTTGGTAATAATATATTTCCAATCCAATAATTTAATAATTATAAAACAGTTATCGCAATAACATAATATATATAAAAATTGTGGATAAGCTACCAGCAATAATCAATATTGTCTAATAGAATATAGTTATCCTCTCATTTGCGAATGAGCCAATTATTGGACTCGGACACCGTAGTCCCATTTGTGGCGACGGGCTCAAAACCCCTTCTGTGAGAAGTCTCACAGGTCCCCATCTGTAGGACCAATTGCAGGACTTCAAGTCGTTTTGACAGCTAACTGAAAAGCGAATGATGTAATTGTATTGCAGCCGATCTACCTGCGCGTGATGCTGCAGAGTGACCGAGGTACGGTAGCGTGCTGCGGCGGCGGCCTGCCGTGCGCCCTCTGCCTCAGCGCCGCCCGCCTCCCCCCGCGCCCGCCGCGCCCCCCGCGCCCGCCCCGCGCCCTGCCCCGCCTCCCCACAGACCCCGACCTCTACGCCAGCAAAAAGGGCAAAACCCTCTTCTCTAGTAACCCCGACACCCTGACGGACGACCACAGACCGAAACGCACGCGCACCGGTTCCCTAAACGAGAAAATCCTCCGAATTCCCCACGTCGAAATCACAACGGCCGACTACTCGAGTTACGACGGCGTATTCGTTAACGAAATCGATAACACCTTACTCTTTGTGAGGCCGTGCATGGACCCCTATACGCCGGAGAGTATCGATTCTCATACGCCCGACGTCGAAGAGGCGTCCAGCGCTGAGGAAATCGCGAACGAACTAGACGACGTTCTAGGTGTGAGTATGATCGAATCTAAATCGATTAAGTTGAATCGAGACAGGAGCGTCTCTCCTACCCAATTGAAGCATAGACTCGATAAGTTGTTGACGGAGGACAGGTATACGGGTGTACCTGAGATTCAGAGGCTAAATAGTAGAGAGTCTTGTAAGTCGGACGGTAGTAAAAAAGGGGGGTTGTGCTGTTTGGCTTTGAAATGCTACGGGTTCTGCAGGCGGAGGGCGCCGAAGGTCAATTGCGGTTGTAGTGGCTTGAGTAACTGTTGCACCTCCTGAGCTGTATGACGTTTGTGATTCGATTTTCGAATGTTGTTGACAAGGCACGAGCTCGATGAAAATCAAAATCAAATTTAGAATTTATTGTTTTTTTTTTGATATTGCTACATTCCATAGATAATTTCGTGTTTGATTTAATTTATTGAAATTAATTTTTCATCGAGCTGTACGTCGTGAGTGTTTCCACTGCATAATTATTTTGTTCACTAATGTTATAGTGTATCTTGCATTGTGATTTCCTAATTAGATTCAACCGTTTTATTGGTTGTACCGACAATGGTAATATTTACCATAGCTGTTTAAATATGTGGTAATTTTTACCATTAAAAATAACCATTTTATTTGCATGACTGTTAGAATTATTTGTATAATTTTAACTGTGTTTTTATCTCACTATGTAGATTAGACGTTATAGTTAATGTGTGTGTAATAGATTGGTGCTACTTGCGCGATGTAAATTGGTCGGTCTGTTTTTTTTAATAAACGACTTAGTTTTATGTACAGTACAACAATCTGCAGATTTTACAAAGCAGAAGTGGAATCGCCACTATTCTTCCTATGTGGTTGTAGCCCACTCCTGCATAAACGAATATCTCCATTGGAAGGTAGACACTATCTTGAAGTGATAAAAACCATCGCTCCTAAGAATATCCTTCGAATATCTTCGAATATCGATAGCGAAGTTTAAAAAAGGGCGAGTACAATAGATATATGCAGGTTGTAGTGTTACACCTAACATGATAGCCCAAAACCCTCAATAAAAAAACTAGTCTGTACAAGAATTTAGTTATGACTGATTGGTTATTTAAATCTCAATAAGAGACATGCATGTATTTTATAGACCAACTATTTCGTTTATTTTGTAAACTATTGTTTTATCACTTTGTATTTTTTAATAATTTAAATTGTACAGTTACATGAAAAATATTTTTTTTTATGTAACTGTTTTAGAAATGCAAAATAATCATAGAGTAGTGTAACGTGACGTAATGTAGTTTAATGAAATATTACTAAGGCGTCCATTAGACGTTCACTTATTTGCATCTATTTTGGACAGTGTTGCCATATTTTTTCATAAAATTGTATACTGTTTCAAATATATATTTAATGAGTGATATAAAACGGCAACTAAATATTTTGTCTTGAAAATTTATGTATTTTCAAAACAATCTTGAAAATGTAGGAAAGAACACACAACTTACTGGTTTTTTATGTATACATTTTGGCAATATTGTTTATGAAATAATTTTAATGAACAAAATCAATCTTTCAAATTTTTATGTTTTAACAAAATTTGTAAATTTATGGTTCTGTTATTTTGACAATAGATCTGATAGCTCTTTTTATGACATTAGAAATAACTTATCAACTCTTTAAACCTTTTTATCGTCTAATGGTCGCTTAAAAGTTCTCAAGTAAAGTTACGGGCATTATGTGAATATGTTTTGTCATAGTGATATTCACAGATTATGATAAGATAGCTAAATCCCCGGCGGTACCTGCATCCTTTTGGGTATATAATATCCTATGCGTTTAAATCGTGGTTATGATCTATCTGTATACCAAATTTCATTCGAATGTAATAAGCTGTTTAAACGTGAAAAAAATGTCAGTGGTATTTTTTTTTGTGATCTTGCTATTATTTTAAACGCAAAAGTTTGTGAGTATGGATGGATAGATGGATATATGTTTATTACTCTTTCACACAAAAACTACTTAACGGATTTTGATGAACATTTTCAGTAATATAGCTTATACATCAGAATAATGTATACTATAAATTTCACGCAGGTGGTACAGTATGGTACGGCTAGTATTATTCAAGAATGTTCACATAATAAAGCTCGTATCCATACGAGAGATTAAATATCATTATGTCCCCACCTTTGTATATATATTGATGTGTTTTGAACTAGTCGACATCGGTCCATCAATATGAAGGTACTGATAATAAGTTAAGTTAATAAAAACTGATAGCAAAACGAATCCTAATCTTGCACCATTACATTATGTGCCATTTTTCAATGACAATTTAACAATTTTCAATATTGATCACTACTCAGGTCGAAGTAGATATCTCTAAAATTACTTCTGCTTTATTTTATATAACAATAATAATTTCAGGACAATTCGCACAGCGCCATCTAGTTCCAAGTTAAGCTAACTAGAGCTGGTGTTATGTGTACTAGATAATTGATTCAAATACATATGTTTTTTCGTAAATACATATTATTAATTATATTATTAACGGGGTCTTAACAGTCAATAAGTGTACGAATAACGTGAGTGCTGTGTGTCGCGATCTTTCATTGAACAATCCAGTGATGGTAGATGAAAAAACTGCTGTCACCTATCTACATTGACATCGCTACATTGACAACCTAGTCGAAACGTCGAGGGAGCTAAATACCTTTATTTGCCATAAAATCTAAATCTAAAATATATATTTTAGATTTAGACTTTGAAATTTGACACAATAATTATTGTTATGAATAAATAAATAAATAATGTATATTGAGTACGAAAGTTTAAAAATAAAGTACGATTATTAATTCTAGTCAGTAAAATGACAAGTGCAACTGTCACTGATGCAAAAAAGGGTGACCCGCTATAATAGTGATGGTCGGCAATCAATAGACTTAGACATTTAGACATGCTTTATTTTATTAGGTATCAAAGCTTTTTTTTATTGTTAAATATTTAATGCACACCATATTAAAAATTACGATTTTAGAAATACCTTACCAGAATATTAAAATTTCTCACTATAACATTATTACAAAAGCTGGGAAAAAGTGTATAAAAAGATTCAGAGGAATTAACACTAGAATTTTTATTTATATAAAAGGCAATTTGATATTGAATAAGAAAATGTAATCTCGACTAACTTTTAATTGTTAAAACTCGATTCTACCACATCACTATTTATTTGGAACTAAATACCTGCAACACTGGAAATGTCATTTTACTGACTGGAATTAATAATCTTACTTTAGGAAAAATACTATATGTGGAAGCGTCTGTCTCGTACCTGTATACTTCTGAGGATTTCTTGGGTTTCTTAACACAGGCTAGCGTCTCGATGATATTTTCGCTAGCTTTCACTATTTCACTGTAGGTTTCACATTCAGTTTTAAAATATTTTAATATAGGAATCAACGCGTGCGGTATGGCCACAGTACGGTCAGTTGTGTGAAATAGAGTAGAGAGTTGTTGTGTGGAACAGAAACTAACGGGCTCTAAAATAATGGTCTGTGCTTACAATAGGTATAAGGTAGATTTCGAATAACTATATACATATTATACATGGAATACGCCCAGACCGATACAAACAATAGGAATCATTGGATTATATTGAAAATTGCATTAATTGTTTTTGAATATTGACATATAATATAGTTCATACCCTCTGTATGAAATGTTCAGAATTAAATTTTAATTAATTAAGTTATTTTGCAAGTAAACACAGTAAAGTATTGCGCTTCGATACGGCAGGGGAGTTGGTTGGGTATTTTTATTAATTCACTTTATTATTTGTTATGTATATCTCAAACTTCATAGTTCCTCACATATATGATATTCGTGTTTATTTCGTGCCTTATATTTAAGCAGTTAAGACTCATGTTGGTGTCATTTAATTGTGTATTTTGACGGCCTCGGTTTAGCATACCGCCTTACTTTCGATAGGCACGGGTTTGATTCCTCGCATAGAATGAATATTTGTATTCATGAGTATGGCTGTTTGTATAGATCTGGGTGTTTACTATGTATATTGTATATGTATTTTAAAAAAATGTGTCTTTTTTTTACGGCCATCGAAAGTAAGGTATAAAAATTCATACAATTTTTCAAAAATTCCCTTTGCGTGATCAATTTAATATGAAGAAAGTCCGGTCGCTCAGAGTTTGCGTTTCTGACAGATCGGGATCGAATGGGCGATGTAACTTTGAACTGACATACAATTTACGGTAAAATTTTAAATATATTTTATTTGCCTTATTAACGAGTGAAATGTCTTACATTACATTAAAATACACTTACATTAAAAAATTAATAATTATTCCAACGTACAATAAACGTATTAATTTTGGTCTAAAATTATTAACTATTAACAAATATAAAAACAAAAGTTTTGAAAAGTCCAACCACATCAAACCGCACAGTCTTAAGGTTATTTGGTCACATCACTACAAAAACATACTTAAAATTTTTAATATTTTCTCTCATTACTAAGGCCAATAAATGATATTTAAAATTTTACCATAAATTGTATGTTCAAAGTTACAACGTCCATCCGATCCCGACCTGCCAGAAACGCAAACTCGGAGCGGCCGATATGTAGTACAACATTTGATTTTAGATTTCCAACCTGTTTCATGAAAAAATAATAAGGCCAATACCTTATTATTGCAACTTCGTCCATTCCCGGCTTGGCAGAAACGCAAACTCTGAGCGGCCGGACTGTGTAGTACAAGGTTTGTACACAATTTTTTTTAAATCATTCATAGAAACTGCGCATTTGAGTAACCAATTTAGTATGGATAGTTAAAAAATTTAAGTTAATTAATAGTTAAAGTGTAATCGTCTGTCGTTGTATGGGCATGTAATGCGTAGGAATGAAGATCATGTCTTAAGGAAGGTGTTACATATGAATGTGGATGGTTATAAGGCCATAGGAAGACCGAAAAAGAGATGCATGGACTGTGTGAAAGATGATATGCTAAGAAAGGGAGTAAATAACGAGATGACTGCGAACAGGTATGAATGGAAGAGAAAAACATTACGCCGACCCCAAATAAATGGAATAAGGAAGAAGCAGATGATGAGTTAAAAATTTGATTACTGTATTCCAATATTTTTCATTATGAAAGTGGTTTGGATTGGTATCCTATCTGACTTTTGGTATATAATCTTTTAGTAACTCTGTATAGGTTTGAAATTTGAAGTGTGCTAATTTTATGCTAATGTAAGAACAAATACCAAATGCTTATCTTAAATCT